TATTACTAGCAGTGACCTTGAGCATATGATTTCACCTCATTGAACTCTTCCCACCTGGAAAATGGGAGTATTATTTACATTTCTATCCCAGAGGATTGTGTGATGCTGAAGGAGGCATCACAGGCTGTGCCAAGCAGGTAGGAGGTGTTTGAGAGAGGCTGATCCTCTCCCTTAACCCATTTTACTGTTTTATTTATGCACTGTTTTAGGTTAGGTTCCTTCAGAAGCCAACCCTGAGACAAGGATGTGGGGGGCAGTTAGTTTACCTGGGTGGTGATCCCAAGAAGCAATGTGGAGGTCTGCCAGTTAGACTGGACCTATTTTGTCTTAGAGGGACATGTTTATTTCAGCTCCTCTGAGAAATCCATATGGGCATCTTTGCATATGTTCTTGGCATTATTTCCTTTAGAGGATTAATAATTTGGCTTGAATTCATGGACTTGTTTTCATTGCCTTTTACTAATAGTTTTTCATGGCAGCTGCTTTCCAACACCTTCTGGTGTTTGAATATCATTAAAGCTAGTTTTAGGAATAGGTGGAGGATGGTCTTCATGCTCTCTAAGAAATGGAACTGGGCACCGAGTTTGGAGTTTGGCAGGCTTTTCAGTCCATTTCCAGCTGTGTGTCTCTGGGCATCATTTTTTCATCTGAAAAACAGGTGTCTAGGATACTTACCTCACATGTGAGATTCTAGTAGGGTATCATCTGTATAGAACCTGGCACTGAGCGGTGGCCCCCAATCCTGCCTACACTTCCTCTGGGAGGCTCTCCAGCAGGCCTTCTCACCTCTGTTCAGAGGATTTATTCAGAGATGTGCTGGAGGCCACAGGATGGTTCATGGTGGGATTTTCCATTTCTGTACTAGATATGAATCCATATGGGAAGAAGGGGTAGCATCTCGAATGCCTGAGCAAGAAGTGCAGCAAGCATAGGCCCAGATTTTCTATAAATACCTGGTGATCCCTCCCACCCCCACGTGACCTGAGATCACGTCAAGCTTGGCTCAGCTTTCCCTCCCTACCCTGTCTGCAGGAGCCTCTCCAGCCACTCCATATCATGTCACACTTTTATTTACTTCTTGCCTTTTTACCTAAAACATTTTATTTATAGTCTATTTACTACCACTACTACTAGAATATTAGGTTCATGAGAGCAGGACACATACCTGCCCTATGCACTATTTTAGGTTAGGTTCCTTCAGAAGCCATCCCTGAGACAGGGATGTGGGGGGCAGTTAGTTTACCTGGCAGGTGATCCCAAGAAGCAGTGGTGGGGGGATTCAGGAAGTGAGACAGGGAAGGAAAAAGGTCAGTAAGGGCTGCACTCTCGAGCAGGTCACTGCTTCAAGGAACTTACCCTACTGGAGAATCCTGAGAGATGGTATAGATGATGCACCTTCCTGCTGGGAGGAAAGAGGTCTAGAGTCTTTATCCACCCACTCCTGTCAGTCATTGGCTAAAGCTACTCCAGGGAGGTGTTCACTACCTGATTCTTTCGGTCTGCTGCCTTCACAGGCAGGTGGGGTTGTCCTGGCCTGAGTCTGTGACAGAGTTGTAGACAAAAATGGCAGGCATTTGCAGCCGGCAGAGCTGAGTCCATCTGGGTAGTCATGGTGAGTGCCAAGGGATCTGGGTAAGGCGGCTACAGTGCAGTGTCTGCTACATGATTGTCCCCATAAGGAGGCCCAGTGTCTGGTAAATGGTGACAATTCATTGGATGATTCAGATGGAGCAGGATCCCTCCAGAAGGACAAGGTAGAGATGGGTGTTCCAGGTAGGGAAACTTGTTTCTCCAATACCCCAGTTGTTGAGAGATGCATGGACTCACAAAGCATGGGCCCCTCTGCGTTTCTGTGGAAACTGCAGCTTTTATTTTCCCCTCATTCCTTTATTAAACGCTGTGATGAAGGGTGGCCCATACCCTTGCAACTGCTCCAACAGTTTGCCCTTTCCCCCACCTCCACTAGGAAACCAACCATCTTTCTGTTGATTATTCATCATAAGATCAATTTTGATTCTTTCTTCCATCCTGATTTCTCTTGAATATCTCGGGATGCTGATTTTCCTCTCAGCATTGGGTGCTCAGGCCTGAATTTGATTTCTTACTTGTAGTCTGGCCAGCACAGGGAGAAGGGTATCAGCCCTTCCACTCTTCTGGAGCAGGGGCTCTCAGCCCTAGGTGTACACTGAAACCACCCGGAGCACTTTTTAAGCATACTGATGCTCAGTGCCACCTCTAGAAATTCTGATTCAGTTAATCTGGGATAAGGCCCTGGCTTTTAGCACTTAAGAAGTGTCCCCTTCTCTGCCCCCTAGTTAATTCTGATATGCAACCAGGGTGGAGAAACACTGGCCTAGACCTTCTGTAGGCATCTAACAGAGGTATCCGAAAAGGTCATAGTTATTTTGGTTTCAGGAGCAGCTTGATCCAGCAGCTCAGTGATCTTATCAAGGATTTGATTTCTGTGTGTGTGTGTGTGTGTGTGTTTAAAAATCTCTCTCCTTTGCCTTCTGTGATTCTGATTTACCTGCCCTTTGGTGACCCTTCAAAATTTCTAAATTGCTACCAATATGCTCAGACTACTTGCTGTCTCATTCATGTCCAGTAGGAGAGAGAACATCTTTGTCTCATTGTTCCCAGCACAAGTCTTAAAATTCATGCTATTTGGACTGGCTTAAGAATCAAGCCTATCTCCAAACCAAACACTGTGGATAGGGGGATGGCTCAGATCATGTGCCCCATTCTTAGCACTGGTTATGGTCAGTTTCTCACCTTAGCCCAGGATGCATATTACAACCACCCAAGCAGCTTAAAGAATCCTGATGCCTGGGCCCCACTCTCAGAGGTGGGGCCCAGGCATTGGCATTTTTCAAAGTATCCCAGGTAATTGTGATGTTCAGCCAGGGTGGAGAACCATGACCTAGACTGTACAGACTTGTGAGGTAGGCTCAGACCCCACCTGGAAAGGCTCACAAGTACAGATCCTCTGCTTGGACCTACATGTGTACATGCCTTGCTAGGGGCTGGCCAAATGTCTACAGCCTTAGGTTGTAATGGCCTGAGACATGGCTGCACTCAGCAAACCCAGAGAAACAGAGCTGTGGCCTCTACAATTTCCAATTGGGAAAGGAATCAGCCTGGCACAAGGAATCAAATTAGAAGTAGTTCATGAATGCATAAGATTTGGTGGCCTGTTCTCAATAGTAATTCGTGGGTAACCTAAGGCTTTCCCTTTTTCTTTGTCTGTTTCCTCATCTGCTATTTGGATTCAAAGACTACCCATGCCTCTCTGGACTGACTACAGGTGCATGAGATTTATGTGAGGCACCCTTAGTTACTTGGGACAAAGCAGAATCCCTGAGTAGGAAGGCTTTATGATAGAGTGAAGAGTTTAATCTCTTTATGGAGCTGTGCTACCTTAAATACGTCCTCTTACCTCACTGAGCTTCAGTGTCCAAACTAGCAAAACAAGGACTATATCTCCCAGAATGCTCTACCATGAGCATGAAATAAGATAATGTATGTAAGCTCAGTGTAGCACCTGGCATATTATATGGGTTTGGTAAATTGCTTTCCTTCTAAGAATGCCACTGTTAGCTCTTAATCTTCTTAATGTGACATCAGATGGGGAAACCAAAGCCCATAGTATCCAACATAAGTAACCATTTGCTGCTTATAGACTGAAGCCACTTGATTAGCCCCTGAACTCGAAGCCCCTCAACAGGAGGTCCTGGCCACTGCTTCATCTTTGTATCCCCAACATACCACAAATGGCTTCAGATTTTCTACACCACAGGGTTTTGGGAATGACATCTTGTTGGAAGGGAGGTGCTGAGAAGCATCTCATCTTGAAGATGCATTTGCATATGGGCCCAGTCTTTGCACTTGAATTGGACATTTGCTTGTGGGCAGGGGAGGATGATGCCCTGCCTGGCACAGTATTTGGCACAAAGTTAGTACTAATAATTGGATGCCAAATGAATGGACTAAACTTTCCTTTTCACAACTTACCTCTCCTGCCCAATGGAGTCATGGAAGAAATGAAGATAAGAGTGTAAGAAATAGTTCTGTTTATTGGTTAGAACATGGTATAAAATTACAGCAATTTGCAGGCATTCTGGGCTTTCTGGGAGGGACATGCAGTGCTAGGCTCTAGTAGGAGGTGGATGGAGGTACAGACCACTGGGCATTGGCTTTCTTCCTGGGCACAGTAAGGGACTTACCCTACCAGCACAGGTGCTAGTGTGAGAGAGAATTATTGGTCCCTGCCTCTGCAAACAAAGGACATGGGTGATGTGGGTTACCAGACAATGCCATGCTTTATAATTCAGTCCTATCCTACATGTGTTAGCTGCTGGCTCTCCCAATCTAGTCCTGGTAGATTATTATTGTTCTGTATAATGCTCATTCTTTCCACCAAAGGAAGGGAAACAGGCACATTGGTTTGGGAGGCCATCAGAGGATGGTATGCATTTGGCTCAGATCATCTTGCTTTCAGAAACATCAAGGTCTGCTGGGCTTGGAGGCAGTGGGCTGGGGCACGCAAGGAGAAAAGTGTGCACTACTGTTTAAGCTCAAGCAGAGGGACCTTCCATAGGGCAGCAGCATGAAGAGATGAGCATGCTTCCAAGACAAACCCAATTTCCTCTTGTCTCTCTAGAAGAGAGAGGAGGAAGGGTTGGCAATCAGAGACTGAGCCATGTGCTGCTGGGTTCCATAGAAAGTCTTCAGCAGAGAATTCTTCCAAAGTGTAAAAGGTGTTTCTGTCCCAAAAGTTGGTGTGTAAAATCAGAACAAGGGCAGATCAAGGTGTTAAGGTGGTTGTTCAATACAACGTCTCTGAGAGCCAGATGGCTATGTCCACTGTTACATGACATTTTGGAACAGCTGGAGGGACCTCATGATGTTATCATCCTGGGGAGGGTGCAGAGGGGAAAAAAAGTATGGTTAGAAGTCTCTGAGGCTCTTTTCTGAGAAGCTTTATAACTGGTGACTGGGCACAGTAAGGGACTTACCCTACCAGCACAGGTGCTAGTGTGAGAGAGAATTATTGGTCCCTGCCTCTGCAAACAAAGGACATGGGTGATGTGGGTTACCAGACAATGCCATGCTTTATAATTCAGTCCTATCCTACATGTGTTAGCTGCTGGCTCTCCCAATCTAGTCCTGGTAGATTATTATTGTTCTGTATAATGCTCATTCTTTCCACCAAAGGAAGGGAAACAGGCACATTGGTTTGGGAGGCCATCAGAGGATGGTATGCATTTGGCTCAGATCATCTTGCTTTCAGAAACATCAAGGTCTGCTGGGCTTGGAGGCAGTGGGCTGGGGCACGCAAGGAGAAAAGTGTGCACTACTGTTTAAGCTCAAGCAGAGGGACCTTCCATAGGGCAGCAGCATGAAGAGATGAGCATGCTTCCAAGACAAACCCAATTTCCTCTTGTCTCTCTAGAAGAGAGAGGAGGAAGGGTTGGCAATCAGAGACTGAGCCATGTGCTGCTGGGTTCCATAGAAAGTCTTCAGCAGAGAATTCTTCCAAAGTGTAAAAGGTGTTTCTGTCCCAAAAGTTGGTGTGTAAAATCAGAACAAGGGCAGATCAAGGTGTTAAGGTGGTTGTTCAATACAACGTCTCTGAGAGCCAGATGGCTATGTCCACTGTTACATGACATTTTGGAACAGCTGGAGGGACCTCATGATGTTATCATCCTGGGGAGGGTGCAGAGGGGAAAAAAAGTATGGTTAGAAGTCTCTGAGGCTCTTTTCTGAGAAGCTTTATAACTGGTGAGCAAATCTCCAGCATGGGTTTCGTTTGCAGAAAAAACTCGGCAAGGGTATGAGAAACAAGGAGTAAGGGGTGGGGACTTAGGAAGTGAGAAACTCAAGGCAAGAAGCACCTTCTCTGGCCTTGAAGTTTGGAAGATACAAATTTTCCAGTGAAATATTGAATGTTGCCTCTTTTAAGAAGCTCTGGGTAATTGCATTTTATGAAATGATTTTTCTACATCTGCTGAGATGATCACGTTTTTTATTCTATTATGTATTAATTGATTAACTCTTGAATGTTAAACCAATATAGCATTCCTGTAATAAACCCTATTTATTCATGTTATAGTATGCTTTTTACATACTACTGGATTTTATTTTTTCATCAATGTCTGGAAGGAATATATTAGTTAGCCTGAACATTGCCTTATTTTGTATTGGCTTTTTCATGTTTCCACATTAGGTTATGATAGCCTCATAAATCAAGCTTTGAAGTGTCCCCTCTTTCTCTAATCTCTGAGTTTGTGTAAGATTAACATCATTTCTTCCTTAAATGTTTGGAAGAATTTACCAACAAAGACATCTGCGTCTGCCATTTTCTCTGTGGAAGTCTTCAATCACAGATTCAATTTCTTTAACATACATAGGACTATTCAGAGTTTTGGTTTCTTTTTGTGTTAGTTTTGATAAGTTATATTTGTAAGGAATTTTTAAGGAATAAGGAATTTGAATTTGTAGATTTCAGATGTTAGTAAATGTATTGGATAATGAACTATTATATCTTTAATGGTGTAAAGCTGTGGTGGGGCTTCCCTTTTCATTCCTGATATTGATAATTTGAGGGTTTTTTTTCTCTCTTTTGCTTAAGTAAGTCTTGCTAAGCATTTATCAATCTTACTAATTTTTTCAAAGAGGAAACTTTTAGTTTAATTGCTTTTTTTATGGAATGTCTCTACTGTATGTTCTATATTTAAAGGTTTTCTATTGTATGCTCCTAAAGAATAAGTATTGAATGTAGAAAACCCTCAAATGTTTAGATACTAAACAAAATACTTCTAGGTCCATGGGTCATAGAAGAAAATATTTTGAATTAAACTATAATGAAAATATGATATATCAAACTTTGTGGGATCTAAAGCAGTACTTAGGGAAAAATTTAGCCCATTAGAATTTTAGAGAATCACAGCTTTAGATTTTTCTCCAGCTACTCCCTTGTAGTCTGGGGAGTGGGTCATTGAGTCAGACGCAGGTTGAAAAATGGTGATGTTACCCACTTGGGAAGTCTGCAGTTTCACAGAGACCCCTCTAGGCTTTCATATCCCCCACAATCCTTAGGCTGTCCAGCTCAGCCTGTGCTTAGCTAAGACCAGCCATAGGGCAATCTGAGGTGTGATGTCGGAGTTCTGAGTCATTGCTGGTGTAGGTGTTGGAGGCTCTGACCTGCGGGTCCTAGGTTTCTCATTCTCTCCCTTCTGCAGGCCCCTGAGCCCCAGATTTACAAGCTTCTGCCCTGAAGTCTCTCCTTACCTCCTGACAGGATTCAAGAAATTCATCTAAAGTCACAATGCCATCTTTATTTTTGTCCATTTTCTGAAAGACACAACAGGTAGCACTTTAAAGAACCCGCTAATCTGTTTTCCTTTGTTAACCAACTTTGCCTGGAGAATAGGGTGGTCTTTCACTGGCCAGACAACTCCACCTGGGCCCTGGTAACAGCACTTTGACTCCTGAGAGCTTCCTTAAAACCAAAAGACTAGCTCTAGATGCTTATTGCTGGTTTATTTTGCCAACATCCTAATATGTCTCCCCTACACTGTCTTCTATTCTAGCCTGTCCACCTGGCAGAAAGAATAATACCAGACATGAGAAATTCTGCTTCTGTCTCTGTAACTTATGTGTGACCTTGAGTGAGTCTTTAAGCCTCTCTGAGCCTCACTTTTCCCATCTGCAAAGATTTGGACTAGAATTAGCTCTAACTTTCATAGATATTCTGCCGTAAGGTTAGTTTTTTAACAGAACACCACTGTGATAATGCCAGTCTTCTGCTCACGGATTAACATTCTGTATCAGAGCAACCTAAACTCTAACTCTCACAATCCAGCACACCCTAGTTTCCAAACTTATTTCTCCTTACTCCCCACACATAAATGCTGAACACCTCCACAAGTGTGCTTAGTGATGTCTTCTCCATTTACTCTCATCCCCCAAGAATTTTTGTGGAGCTTAGAGTCTGTACTACACAATTCAAACTGAATAATATATTCCCCTGTGCCATGCTGTAGTGTATACATGTCTGCATGTTGAGATCATCTATTCCTTGAGGACAATACATCTTGTAATTCTTTTCTGATTCCTATAGTACTTAGTCCAGGGATGGACACAAACCACTTGCGCGGATGCTTGGGGGCTGACTGCTCTAAATTGGGCTGAAAGTTCACCTAGAGAGTGTGTTCACCTACCTGGAAGAAGACATCCACGTGCTGCCTTGGAGTGTCCTCTCTGAGCACTGGATATGTGTATTTTCCCATCATGTCGTAGATGGCTTTGACAATGTCCATCATCTCCTGGGGAAGGGACATGGAGGCGCACAGTGTGGGAACCGTGAAGCCAAGCTCTTCTTAGCTGACAGTTTGGGGCTCCTTGTCTCCCTTGTGAATGAAAGTGATTAAAAAGCCCTTCTTCAGCTGATGAGAGGGAGTTAGAAAGCTAGCTGAGGGGACTATATTGTGGGATCCTCCCCCTAGAGAGAGGGCAGTAGAAAAGTCTCTTTACCTTCGGAAGGTCTTGGGTAGATCATGTCAAGGTGAGTATATCCCCCTTGAGTTAGGGGTTATGTGTGGGGTCAGAGTAGACATGTTTGTGTATTGACCAGCTCCCACACCGTTTTTGGAAGACCCTCTCTCCACTCCAAATTCCTTTGATGGCTCTTAGGCCCTCCTCAATCTGTGATTCCTTTGAATGGTTGGGTGTGGGTGGCTGTGTTTGCATCAGGTGACCTGTGGCCCTGTGACCATAGCTGGTTGGAACAAAGGTGGACATGTGACTAAAGCTGAGCCACTCTGTTTTTCTCTCTTGAGAAGTTTGAGTGAAAAGGCACAGACACTGTTGCCAGAAGTGGAAGAACCCTGGATTTTGAAAGCCAGGTGGAGCTGGTTCCAGGTTTTAGCTGAGGTTAAGGGAGAGCAGACACCGAGAACTTCTGCAAAGGAGAGGATCTTCCGTAACGACTAGAATGGAGGAGATGCACAGAAAGCAGAGAAGAGAAAGAAGAAAAGAGAGAAGAGTGGAAGAGTAGAGGGCAGAGAAGGGAGGTGGGCATAACAGAGGAACAGTGACACATTGCTATGAGCGCACGCATTTGTGTGCACGGGTAGGTGTGCACACACTCACATACACAGGCTCTCCGAGAAAAGCAGTTGAGGAAGACAGAGGCAGTAACAGAGATCAAGAGAAGCCCCAGAGAAGCAGTGGCTGAGAATGGTTACCCTATAAACTCAAACCACCTCTTGGGCTTCCCATGTTGCTGGCAACTTGAGCCTGTCATTCCTGCAGAGGAGGCTGTGGCCATCTTGATCTTAGACAATGTTAGAGGAGGGGAGTAAAGAGGGCAGAAAGAAGAGACATAGATGCTAACAACTTCGTAGTTTCAATGGGGATTAAATGTGTTCCATCAGAAACCAGAAACCCTAATTTCCAAACTTATTTCCCCTTACTCCCCACACATAAATGCTGAACACCTCCACGAGTGTGCTTAGTGATGTCTTCTCCATTTACTCTCATCCCCCAAGAATTTTTGTGGAGCTTAGAGTCTGTACTACACAATTTAAACTGAATAATATATTCATTCCCCTGTGCCATGCTGTAGTGTATACATGTCTGCATATAGTCCCTGGGTTTCTTAAGATTAGGCTGAAGTTATGTGTGTTTGACAAGAATATCATAGAAGTGACATTATATCCTTCTTAGTATATCCTATCAAAAAGGTACATCGTATTGATGTATCTTACTATTTACTGGTGATGTTAACCTTGATCACTTGATTTAGGTGGTGCCTGTCAAATTTCTCCATTGATTTTCATATCTGTTGGTAGATTTTGCCTGCAAAAATTATTACTCTAGTGTTGGCCTAATGGTGATTTTGCATTTCCTTTATTCTTTTTTAAAAAATTCCTTCTTCATTTATTAATTGGAATTCTTCTTTAAGGAAGAGTTTCCACATTTCCCCCATTTATCTATGTATTCAATTATGTATTTGAATATATAGTTATTATTTATTTGAATACATATTATATTATTTGAATATATATATTAATATGGACTCAAAGAAGTTTGCTTTATTTTATAGGTTATAATCCAATACTATCATTAAAAATGTTTTTTGCCCAAATTGTTCTAGCTTTGGCTATTGGGAACTTTGGCTATTGGCTGTCAGGTTGACTCCTGTAGCTTTTTGACATGCCCCATCTTTTTTTAAAGCATTCCCATACTTTTCAGCAGTACAAGATGCTCTGGGCTCATCTTGCATTTCCTCTTCCCAGCCCTGGAATCAACCACTTCTTCAAAGAAACGGGTTTCCTTAGTTGGAGAATACAATTTAGAAACCAAGGTCTGGGAACTACTGTGCTCATTGCTGCAGGGGTGTCATTACTCTTAGGCCCTTTCAACAAACAGAACTAAAAAATATATGTCTCTATATAATTTATATATGTATTTATTTAAAAACAAGTGCTTTGGAAGTCCTTCAAAGCCGTGTGGTCATAGGTTTCTTTCCTGAACATCCTTTATAGGAGAAAGTACTGAAAGACCAATTTGATTTTTCTCTCAGGATTTTTGTTGTCTAACAATGTTGATGAGATTATCTCCAAATGACTGCCAGGGGTAGAGCCAGCTATCTTTTCTAGGAAGCTCCTTATCCACATTTTCTTTTTCTTTTAAGGAGAAATTTATTGAATCTGCCATTCAGAGAGACCTAATGGGCCTTAACGGGGACAATTTCACCTAGTTTGCAAAGAAGAAAAAGAGAGCAGGAGTTAATTAAGACTATTCAGTGATGGGATGATGGTTGAATCAAATCTGCAGACCAGTATTATAAGTCCCATTTTGTAAAGTATTATTTGAATATTTTGGAGTATCATATATTTGAGTATGTATAGAAGCATTTAATTATTTACAAAATTGAGATATTATACATACTGCTTTATAAAGTGGTTTTAGAACATTATGCATCATACACATTTTATATCTTATTACTCTTGCATGATTTTAAATGGCCACCTGTTATTCCACTGTATGTATTTCCTGAAGTTCATTTAGCACACCTGCTATTAGTGGATATTAGGGTTTTCACATTTTTGGAATTATTTACCGCTTTATCTTCAGCTCCTAGAGCACCTAATAAGCCCTCGAATAATATGTGGAAGAAATACTGACTGAATGAATGAGGAATTAAAATCGGAGAAAAACTTGCAGTGTTGAGGGGAGGATTGGAGATGATATTTGTAACTCTAAACACTATGCGTGACACACAGAGGTCGGGAAGTGGGATGTTACAGGATGTTAATTCCAAACTCTGACTGAGATACCAGGATAGAGTAGATAGCAAAGCGCGTTTTGAGATAGCCCTATGGGTATTTTCCTGGCTAGACACCATATGTACTCTGAGGCTCTGAGTGTCAAGCTGTGAAGATTCAGAAATTATTTGTCATGATTTCTTTAGAGATGGCTGCACCTTCCACCACCCTCTTGTGGTTGTGTTAGAAGGCAAAATAAACTGTGGCCACTATGATCCAACTGTAGTCTCCTCTTCCTCAAAAATCTCCCTTTCCTCTTCTAGGTAATGCCTGCAATTCTAATATTCCAACTTTTAGCTTTAACTTGTGCCTATTAACCTGTTAAAACTCATGTTCCCCTGAGAAGATGAACTCTACCCTAAAATCATGTACACCCACTTTGGAATGTGCATCGGGTAGTGTGCCCCAGTGAGAAGCAGTGAACCTACTTAATCCTTTCTTGAGTGCCTGGGAACAGGGCAGGGTGCGCCAGTTGGGGAGGTCAAGGGGACTTTCTTCAGTTTGCCAGGAACCAACTTTGTGAGCCCCAAAGCAGAGCTCTCATTCAAACAATTTCTTCCTCACAATGGAGGTTGTTTCCTATTTAATTAGGTGCCTTTGTTGCGGCTGTCATGCCCTTGGCCTCAGCTCACTTACCTCTTTGTTTATGTATCCATCTTTATTGATGTCATACAAATTAAATGTCCACCTTAGTTTCTCATGGACGGTTCCTCTCAGTAAAATTGATAGAGCAGTTACAAAGTCCTGAGAAGGGGAAGAGGCATGAGTGACATTAACCACCAAGCCATCAGGTGGGGGGAGCTCTGTCTTTGGATCAAACCCTGTGACTGCTTATACAGAATGGCATCACTCCTGTTCTCTGTCCCCTGAAAGATATGGCCAAGCTCTGTGCACAGTGGCCCCTCTTTTCATTCCCTACCCTGCCCCATTTTTTGGAAGGAGCCTCCTGAGGAAGAATGGAGCTCTGTGTGTGCTGACACCTGCAGAGGCAGGTAAATGCAGCCTCCTCTGATATTGCCTTATCCCATGGCTGCAGTTCTTGTGACAGTGATGGTTTAGTCCAGTGGCTAAGAATGTGGACTCCAGAAACATTCTGAGTTCAAATCCCTCCTTTAGAGCTTTTTAGCTATTTGATCTTGGGAAAGCTACCCAACCTCTCTTTGCCTTACTTTCCTCTTCTGTAAACTGGCAATAAATAATAAATAAATAACCCTACCTTGTGAGGTTATTGTCAGGATTAAATGAGTTAATACATGCAAAGTGCTCGGTACAAACTCTGCCACATGGTATGCTTGGTGGCATGTGGGCTGTGAAACTGTTATCATTGGTTCTGGGAGGCCCTGAGTTCCTGGAGGGCAAGGGCAGGTGTTTTTCTCTTCTCTGTCTTCAGGAAATGCTTGTTAAGCAGATAAAGGACTGAAGCACTTAACAATCCAACCCTTCCCCCAACACCCCAAGGTTTAGGGAGAGCTCATGAGGTTCAGGGAACCCAGAGGTGAGCATACCTCAAACTTCACGGAGCCCGTCTGGGTCGTGTCGAAGGCATGGAAGAGGTAATGGGCATACGTGCTGGCATCTGCAAGGTACAGAAGGAAAGGCAGGTGATGGGAGCAACTCCACAGAGGGCAAGGAGAAGAGTTAACCACAATAAGAGAGGAGAAGTGATGCTGGGTGGCAGAAAGGGGGAAACTGTGGGGTGGGAAACCTCTCAGGTATGAACTAGGACCTGTGGCTGTCCTGGGGCTTAGGTGGGAAGTTCTGGCAAAAGCTGAGACAGGCCCTTGTCCTTACATCTAGCTGGCCCCAGGGAAAGAGCCTCCTGCCTGTCTATGTGTGTAGTTCTTGGTGGATGATGAATGACGTGGTGACTGTCCTGAGGGGCAGCACAGTGCCGTGGAATGAGCACCCATTAGGGAGAAGACAGACCTGGGCTTGGATAGCAGCTCTATTCCTACATAGCTGTGTGACAGCAGGCTTCTAATGCAACCTCTCTGATCTTTACTTTCCCATCTTTATGTGGGGTGTAGCAAAGCTTAGTTCTTGAAATTTCTGAAAAAGTATGCTAAATGTTTCATATAGTCACATCATCAAAGCCCTCATCAAACCTGCCACATTCGAACTCACTAAAGAGTGGCTCAGTAGAGCTCAATGAACAGTGCTTCAGGGCCTGCATGGGGCAAGGCTGCCTCACAAATGGTGTAGTGGCCCTGGACTGGGTCTCACACCTTGGAAGGTTCTTGTCTCATGTTGAAGAGGCCTGTGAACAAGAGTCTAAGAAGTGTTTCTGACACTTGGGTCTCTGTTTCATCAGGAACCAGGGAAGGGATCCTGCAGGAGGTAGCTCCTTGGGGCAGGAAGTAAGGTGGCATTTGACACATGGAAGCACAGGAAGAACCACTGATGTCCCAGGCCCATGGGGCCAGAGCAGGTTCCCGCAGGCATCAGGCTTGGCACCAGCAGCTGTGGGTCTGGTATACGCACCAACCTGGATGTATAAGTACAACTTTATGCTCCCTGCATCTTTATGGGTTAGTTAATTTTTGTAGTTTTTGGGATTTATTAAAGTTCTTTTTCAAAATTCCAGTTCGCCTCACCTGTTATTAGGAAAAGTGTAAAGAGTGTGTGGCATAACAGTGGAGCTAACATGGCTAAGCTTTACATCAGACACTTATGGGATCTAATCCTGGTCAACCACTCACTAGCTGTGTGATCTTGAGTGAATTGCTTAACCTCTCTGAAACTTAGTTGCCTTGGGACAGTGATACCTGCTTTCTAGGGCTGTTTTGAGACTTCATGATACTGCTTTATCAACCTCTCCTCTCCTGGAAAAGGTCCATTTTCAGAGCCCCTTTCTGCCAAAGCTTCATCAAATTCTGTATCTTGTGATAGGGAGGGGAATGTTGCTCTGCATTTTCCATGACGTTAAGGAGGAGATGGCTAACAAGGAGCATGAACTCAGAGGAAGGAAGGCTGCTCACCAAACTGGGAGAGGGGCAGGATCTTTTCAAAGGCAGGACTCACCTCCATGAGGGAAAAACTGAGCGTAGATCTGCTTGAATGTTTCTTCACTGACCACCCCACTGGGGCACTCCTGTGAGAAGGGGAGACAATCAGCGGTGGTTGTCAGGGAGAGTTTGTCCCCAGAGTGGGAACTGAGCCTTGCCTGGGACTCAGGGTTCCTCGCGGTCCTGGTGGGCAGGGACTGAGCACCACCTGCGCACTTCCATGGGGTGCCTGGGAGGTAGCCTCGCCTTAGGACTGAAGCTGCTTTTCAAAACGATGAGATGTCATCAGAGAACAGGCATTGAGAGGCAGAAAACGTTTGTGGGCTTTGGTATTAGAAAGACCTGGGTCTGGATCCTGGCTTAGATCCTTCCGAGTTTTGTGATTTTGGGTGAGTCAGCCTCTCATCCTCAAGGTCCCTACCTGTAAAATGGGGCTAACACCACCTTCCCAACAAGGGTATCATGAAGTATAATATATGAAATAATTATTTCATAGTGAATGAACACCTTGGCATTCAGGCTTACACATCAGTCGCTGAGCTTGGTTAGCAGCAGACCTAATCTCGTCATTTCTGGGGCAATGATGGCATCGACGGTGTGAATGGGTTGAGCTACGGCTAGAACCTGGGCCAAGGCAAAGTCTCCAAGGCTGTGCCATCCTGTGCAGTTTCTGAGCTGTCTTCCATCTACTGAGATTGCCCCATCCTTGCCTGCAGTCTTTTTTTCTAGCCAGGTGATCTTGCTCTCATGTCCCCTTACAACATTAACCTTCCTTTTACATCTGCCCCTATGGAAAAGCTCCCTGATGCCCGCCCCCCTTGGCATTTGGGATTGCGTAGCTCTAAGTGGGAAGTCCTGCTTGGGTCTTCAGAAGTCATGTGGGTCTTACATTTTTGAAGCCTCGATACAGGACTTGCAGCTCCCTCTTGGTGAAGTTGGTCTGGGCCTCCAGCTGTTCCAGTCCCTCAGGCCGATGACAAACCATGGTCATCTCCAGCTCATCTTCAATCTTATCTGGAACCAGAGGAGACGGCATTGGAGTGGCTGACCTTGGCAGTCACTTGTCAGACCACAGTCTGGGCTATCAAAAAGAGTGGCACTGTGACCCAGGACATAGGGTTGTGGGTGGGGTCACACTGCAGATGACCTTCCTGTCTTGAACCCCACCTCCTGTCTCACGGTCAGATGAACCATTTCTCCAGGTGCGTCAGGCACCACACAGGGAGGGAGCTCCAGCTCTGGAGAGAAACAGGTTCCAGGTGGAGATGAGGGCAGAAGTGTTAAAAATAAGTTCATGTGAAAACACTGACTTTTCTTTCAAAATAACTTTTTTGCATATTCCATTGCTGCTCACTGAACCATCTGAATATTCTAGAGACACAGATAAGTGAGCAGAATGATTAACAGCCTTCAAATAGCAATGAGAAACAAATCTATTCAGAAAACAGTAAACTCACACCATCTGGGACAAGGAGAGGAAAGCAAGCATGATGTAGCCAAAAGTTCAAATTATGGCATCTTAAATATTAATTTTAAAAATCTGAATACCTTGTTTTGTAATATCTACTAGTAATAAGAAAGTGACTTAAATTGAAACTACTTTATATAAATAAAGCTGTGAAGCATTTGAAAGGCTCTAAAACAGTTGTCTTAAGTAGTAGTTTAACTATTGCTCATGATATATTACTAGACAAGCTATTTAGAAAGTGTCAGTCAATTAGAGTGAAAAATCTGCCCATCTCCTATTGAAGGATCACAAAATCCAAATAAGTGGAACTTTTGTTTTGCCATAAGAAAGTAAGTGCGTGTTTTCCTGTGGGCCCTGCCAGAGTGCTTTCTATAAATTTGCTCCAATCAAGAATCAATTGCCATCTAACCTTCTCCGCCCATTGTTGCCTTGCAGACATTACCAAATCCATGTATTGAATAATGGTAAACCTGGGCTGGAAGGACAGTGATGAGACGCACGCACACATGCCAGGTCTCATCCCCGTGAGGACAGGCTTGGTTTCTAGCTGGGAGACCAGGGTGAGCTGGTGCATTATTACATGTCTCTGCTCAGTATCAGTCTCTTTGTACCAGATTTTCTAGGCAATTGTCACTTTTCCTTTTGAGACTGTGATCTCAATACAAAAGAAATGCATCAAAGTGAGTCTGTGCTGTACATTTTCCCTAAGGCAGTGGCTGGCTGGGAAAGGCCCCAAGGAACAGACAGAAGCACCTGGGAACAATCCCCAACTGTCCTTCTTAGGTGCTGGGCAACTCGTATTATCTTATTTTGCTGGGAGGAAGGCAGATTATTCAATAGAATTAAGATTCTCTACTTATATGACATGGAGTGGCTGAAAGTGACCAATTTCCTTATAATTCATAATTCTTTCAGAGGCTTTAACTATTGTTAGTTTTGTACCTAACAAGTTAAGCAGCAATTACCCAAACACTGCAGCTTTTCTATGTAAATCAAAGGGCCAATTGTTAACAAACAACCCCAAACCCCACCGGAATCTAATTCAGAATACTCATATATATTTTAACTCATTTTAAAATAGAAATAAAATGGTTGGTTTAAATCTCCTAGCATTATATTTAATAGCAGTTTCATTTTAAAAATGCACAGGTATTTAACACAGTGAAAGGAGGTGAAACAGTAAAATGTAAACAAGGAATATAGCTTTGGAACAAACAGAAATACAGCTTTGGAAGAAATGATGTATTTTTGAAAGTGTCTACTACACTTTTCCAAGTTTATCTGATCCAGAAGCTTAAAAGATTTTTTCACAAAATGTTTTATTTCTACTAATCTTCCTGTAACTGAATTCCTCACAAGATCAGAAACATCTCTTTGCAGAGGTTTGAGAAAATCTTTCTGATTCTGAGACTGCACTTCCCATCTCCTTTGTTATAAATACACTGAGTAATTATTGAAATATCAAATATTTAACCCACTTCATTAAAGTGGCGCTGGACTTTATTAATAAATGATTTATTTGTTGTCTGGGCAGCAGGATCAATTGCCTGATCAAACAGATTCTGTAATATCTGAATATTTGGATAGTCACTATCAAGCTTTTGTGTTGCTTTGCTTTTTCACTATGCTCTGATTTTCAGGTTATGGTGACATAAGTCACTGAAGGAAAGCCATGTGTCTAGGGCCAAGATGCTGGGAAGTAGCTTGCATGAGAGTGTTAGGGACTTAAACAGGGGGTTCTCATTTTTTTTAAAACTGTGTTTCACAATAAGAACAGTTTACCTAACAATCCAGTATGGAGATACAAATAAGCAAACAGTTCATGATGTATTTTGGAGCAAATATTTTATGAAATGATACTTTCCCTTACTAATGTGAAATGAACTATGCTTTCCATTTGAATCTATCCCTTTGTAAAAATGTTCTGACTGTGACCCTCATGTGTCATGTCACATGGACACACTCCTTTCCCTCATCCGGGCTCTCCTCCCTCTCTCTGTATGCCCCATGGTTCTGGCCCTGTGAATAAATTCTGAAGACATTTGGAAGGGGGCTGCTGAGGCTTCTGCATCCCTTCTGTTGCCCCTCATCCCCAACACCAGGGAGTCCCTGACTGCTGCCCAGGTGGTCCCAGTAAAGAAGGAGGGTGGCCCAGCTCCCTGGTTGGAGGGAGAAATAGAATCATCAGGTGGGGAGCCTCCTTGACAGTTTTTTTTTTGAGGTTTGGTAAGAGTCTCCAAGGCTAAATTTTGCTTGTTGTTATTATTTTTGTTATTAAAAATAACGATGAGCCAGTTACTAAATCAGACTGAGTTTGGATGAGAGATAAAAATTAACCTAGAGACTTAATATTATGGTAATAACTACATAACAAGAATAAATTAGAATACCTTCTGTTTGTGAAGTACTTTTAGTTTGTATAATGCTCTCATGCCTTTTGTCACACAACAACCTTGAGTATGGTGGGGAATGGGGAACCATTATTCTCTCCATCTGAACATTAGGAGGATCAGTGTCCAATACAGAGATTTTCTAACCGTAAGTACCTTAAAAACTGCTGAATTGTCCCATTACTGGGAGTAGTTAAGGCAATATAGAGTAACCAACTCTAGGGGATTTACAAAGGAAATGACCCGACGGAAGGAGAGGCTGGAGAAAATGATTCAGATTAAGTGGACCTTATTGTTTTGGGGTCACAGACTCTTCTAATTGTGGAATGAAAGCTTTAGACCTTGAGAAAAAGAAAATGCATTCAATACGGCATTTTTTTCTGTACTTTTGGTTAGTTCCTATGTATTTTAAACACTGGGAGCCTATGTTAAGGTCTTTAGCAAGGAGATCTCTTCCTAACTGTCACTGAATGGCTTTGTCCGAGTTCTAGGTCACACAGCCAGTTGATGACAGAACTGGACTTAGTATTGAGCCATTCCAAGCCTCTCTGACAGCTCTGCCTTCCTTGTGCCCCTACAACGCTTCCACTTCCCTGGAGCACATATTGAGAAATGGCTTGTAACCAGCCTTGCAATATTCTGCTCCTAGCAAGGTCTGTGCCTGTGTACGGGTTGGACCCTTAGATGATGAGGCTCAAGAGGACTCAGGTCATGGCTACGTTCTCCCCGGACTGGAAAATAGCTTCTCCATCGTGGGGTTTCTGGGTTGGATTTTGCAACCATCCATCTAATTTTGAGGTTACAAAATGGTGACCTTTGCCATGATTGCAGCCCAAAGATAGGTGTTGCTTGGCCTGTGAAATGTGTTTTAATTTTCTCGGAATTAATTGACAATATTTAAAGATGAGCAATTCACATACAAATTTGGATTTCTGATTTCTCTTGGAAATTGGAATTATCTGACAACTTTGGTCTCAGATTCTTACAAAGCAATAGTTTATTAGAGCTGAGCTGTTCCCTCTGAGCAGCCAAATCCTCTAGTGTGCCCTCTGCTCACCTCTAGCTCACTTACTTAAGTTATTCTACTTCCTGTCCCCAAAGGCATTTGAGTTCTTGGTTTCTGACATATGCCCACTTACCCCCATGCACCAACCTTTCTCCTACCTCACACCACCCCATCTACTACCTTCTCTCTCCCTCACTATTTGTTTAAACACATTCTGTTTTGTTTTACAAAGGACTTGATGCTGCTTATATGAAATAAATACAATAAAAAGTATTTTTTATTGCCTCAGAAAATGTTGATTAGATTAGGAGGTCAGGACCTCAGGAAAAAAGAGGTCATTTGTTCTAAGTAGTTGCTACACTTAAAACAACAAATTGGCTCTGAGATTCTTCATGTATCTTGTTGCTTATGAGAGAAAAACCTATCAGTTTCTTAGGGGAAGCAAAGCTTTTCCTATAATTTGTCTCTAAAAGAATGTTTCCAACAGTTTCTATGTAAGTGGGCTTTACTAACAAGGGACACGAAAGCTGGTGAATGAGAAGACTAATTACAAAATATGTACTTGATTAAGAAGCTCTTTCTTTGAAGATAGTATGACCAAAGTAGTCAAGTTAATTTAAACTTTTTTACCTCTCTGATACTGGTAAAACCACCAGGCGATGTCTAGGAAAAAGTAAGAAAACATTTTACCAAATCCATTCATCACGAAAGCAAAACCCACTTTTATTTTCCATGGAGATTCCACTCTGCGGGTGTCCAGGTCACCAGCCAGCTCAACATATGCACAGAGGTCTCAAAGCAGAGCTGGGCTGATCTTCTCCCTGTCCTTCTCCCACGGTAGAACAGGCAAGAGCAATGGACCCACCTAGAAGTGCCCATGGCTCCCAGCAGGGGCCCATTGAGCATTCCGGCAGCCGTGCAGCCATGCAGCCTGGAGCGATGGATGGCATGGGGCAGAGGATGCGCGGATGTGGATGGGTCCTTGGAAATACCCACATGTTTGATTGAAGGCTGGCTTATAAGATACTTTCCACAATGAAGGCCCCATTGCCACTCTCTGCTGCTTTGTGACTCTAAGCTGCATATGTTGTAGGATTCTTTATTCACTTACTCAACAGCTATCTATGAAGTGCCTACTATGCATGTATCAGTGAACGAAACAAGTTTGTTTCCTGCTATCATGGAGCTTACAATCTGCAAGTCTTTGCTTCTCTTTTCCATTCTTAAGCTTGATAAGTAACACAGATGAAGAAAAAAAGGGCTGTTGAAAAAACGAATTAGCACATTAAGACGTGTGGGCATAGTGGATGCAGGCCAAGTCCCCAGTTATGCTGAATGTAAAATGTAAGACAAAATATCAGGCTGGGAAAATCCTCCATGCCACAGAGTAGTTGGATGGGTCCAGGTCCCTGAAACTGAGAAATAGGGGCCCTATTTGCTGTTCTACCACTGGCCTTTGAGGGTTCTACTTAAGGGGTCACTCACCTGGTTTTCCTCTGTAGCTATTTGAACTTCCTCCTGTCTTTCCATTGCCCCTGACCAAGAGGATGTAAACCAGCTCAGCCACCACTTTAAGTGTGTTTTACTCAATCCCACCCACAACCCCAGACAGGAGGGGCTTCTTTTCCTCCTGCGCCTAAAAGTGGTGGTATAAGTGGGTATCCTTTGGTGTTTCTGCCTTTGTCTCCTGACCTGAATCCCATAAGGGAAACTTATTTTGCTGGATTTCTTTGCCCCATTTCATCACTCTGATTAAGTAGCATTTGTGTTTATTTATTTTTTCCAATAGACTTAATTTTTAGAGCAGTTTTAGGTTTGCAAAAAAATGCACAAAAATACAGTTCCCATGCACCCCTATTATTAGCACCTTCATTGGTGTGGGGTATGGTATATTTATTACAATTGATGAACCAGGATTGATATATTACTTTTAACTAAAGCCCCTAGTTTACATTATAGTTAACTCTTTGTGTAATGTAGTTCAACCCATTTATCAAAATGGGTTTTGACAAATGTATAATGTCATGTATCCACTATTATAGCATCCTGCAGAATAATTTAATTGCCCTAAAGATGCTTAAGTAGCATGTTCATAGAGCTATGTCTACAGATGTGGATTGACCTTCTTTGGCAAGCCAGGAATGCAATAGGTGTGAGGAGAGACATGAAAAGACATAATGTCTGTTCTACAGTATTCTCAGCCTAGTGGAGAGACACCCACATAGACTAGGAACACAGACTCCAGTGTCAGTAGTACTTGGTAGACAATTTACATGAGTCAGGTGCTGGGTGTACAACTATGGAAGTGGTGGGGCCTGAGAACTGAAGTCACTGCCCCATGAAAGGAAGTTGTTGTCAGGTAGAATTTAGGCATAGTGAGTCCAGATCTTCAGATTTTTTTTCAAGAGAAGCTACAACTGAAAGATCATTGTGTCCTGATTCTCAGCTCTTATCAGTAAGTTTAACATTTAAAACATACAGCATGGGCCCAATATAATATTCCTGTTTGTAGGATGCTGTGGGATGCAGGTATGAAACTTTCCATTGGCAAATCATTCCAAGCAGTGGCCAAGACACTGGGAGTCGAGACGAGGAAGCCCTTGCCTAATGCTCCCTGGGTAGCAAGGGTTTTGAAGGGGTTGGTGAGGATAACTCTTTGGGGAGGTGACAATTTATTTGAGTCTTGAAGGAAGAGGGGACAAGGAAACAGCATGTGCAAAGGCACAGAAACCAAAAGGCCTGAGAATGGTGAGCTCTCTTGTAACAGAGCTGAGCTCTCACTGTGAACAAATAAAAAAGGACACGCACACGAAAATCTTATCTGTTGGAACACGTTGGAGAGCTACCAAGGTAGCCTGCACTTTAGAAGTCACGATTCTGGAGGGAAAAAAGTCATTGAGGTGAGCCTGACAGTCAAGGCAGCTTTTCAATTCAGTGTATGCTGATTGATAAGTGGCATAGATAATGAGGTTAAGAAACTGAGCAATAAAGGGCCTGCTAAGAGCAAAACAGATGAGCAGAACTTCCAGCAGTCTTGGAAGACAAAAATGGGGTCAGTCCTACTAAGACATTCAGGACTGGAGGAGGCAAGACATAAGGAATGACAGAGAAAGGGAGCATGGAGAAATAAGCCCAGTCGCATGAGCTCCTATTTCCCTCAAGGCATTGGCTAACTCCTAAGCAACAGATGTCAAGAGTAACTAAGCAAGAGCCACAGCCAAAAGGTTGCAGAGCTAGACAGAATTTTTAGCAGGTCCACAGTCGGGGGTAACTGTTGGAGTTTAGGGTCTTCCTGGAAGGAGGGTTCCTGGTTAATACTCAGGCTTTCAGGTTGAGCCTGAAAGACTACATTCTAGGTGCAAGGGCAAATTAGAAATAGATCAGGCCTTACAAAGATTGAAATTCATCCTCAGAATAGCTCAACCCCTATTTGGATAAAGTTCTACTCTGTTACCCTGCAGAAGCCAAAGGCTCGACTAGATAGTTTATGAAGTTTTTATTTCAGTGTTCACTAGTCATTGAAAATTTGTCAGGCATATTAAGAGGACCAAGAGCAAAAAAGATGGATGATAGTAATATAGTAATCAATTTATAGGCGATCTAGATAGTGGACTTAACCAAGCTTTAAAATAATGGTAAAATATGTTCAACAAAACAGATTAAAAGGTGTAGAATTCCATCAGAGAACCAAAATGTATATAAAAAGGTAAATTAAAAATCCTAGAATTAGAAAGTATATTATCAAAAATTATCAACTAAATAGGTCAATTTAACAGCAGGTTAGGCACAGATGAAAAGAGATTTAATGATTTTGTATATACGTCAATAGAAAAATATGCAGACTGATGCTCAGAGGAAAAAAATGAAAAAGACAGATAAGAGCATAAAAGACATATTGAACATGCTGTAAAGGCCAAACATATGTCCAACTGGAGTCCTGAAAAGGGAGGTGAAAAAGAATGACACTGAGGCAATATCTGAAAACAACTCAGAATTTGAAAAAAATGGATGAAATATATCAGACCACAGATATCAAATCACAGATTCAAGAAGCACTACAAATGCCAAGCAGAAAACCACACAGAAAACCACACCTAGGAACATCACAGTAAAACTGCTGAAATACAAACAGAAGATCTTCGACACAAGAGAGCATCCTTAGATAAAAACCAGACACTAAGTGAAAGCAGCTTGCAAGCATAAGGACACAGAAAAGGTAAAAATAAAATGACAGAAAAGGATACAGCATACAAACAGAAATCCAGAAAAGCTGGCATGGTTCTTATAACCTCAGACAAGGTAGACTTTAAGGCAAGAAGCTTTGCTAGAGAGAAAGAGGGAGTTTTCATAAAAAAAAGAGGCCACCCACTAGAAAGATGTAACAATTCTAAACTAGTATGCACCAATAACATAGCTTCAAAGTACATATAAAACAAAAGCTGACAGAACTAAAAGGAGAAATCGCAGATTCATAATCACAATGGGAAATTTATAAACACATCCCTCAGTAACTGATAAAACAAAAAACCAGGAAGTGTATTTATAGAAGATATAAGCTATGCAATTAACAAGTTAGCCCTCATTGTCCCAGGCAGAGCTCTTCACCCCAAAATTCTGGAATACTAGACTTTCTTTTCAAATGCACATAGAATCTTTTCCAAAATTGACCATTTCCTGGATCATAAAGCTAAGCTCAACAAAGTTCAAAAGAATTGAAATTATTCAGAATGTTTTCTGTCCAGAGTGGAATTAAGAAACCAAGAGCAAAAAGAAAATGAGAAAATCTCCAAATGTTTGGAAATCAAGCAATATGGTTCTAATTTCTAAGAAATTCACCTATCAAAGAAGAAATCTCATGGAAATTAGCATTTGAACTAAATGATAATGAGAATATGACATATCAAAACATGTGGGTGTCATTAAAAGTGTACCCAGAGAGAAATTTCAAAGAGCATGACCTAATTGAGCTGTAAATAATTTAGGTGACAGTGTGCAAAAACATTAAATGCTGTGCTTCCTTTTGAAACCGTATTTCTAGTGTTTCCAGTGATTCATTCTGAATGTTGCTTAAACGGCATGCTGGCATTTGAAAATGTGATCTTTCCTGTTAAACATGGTTGATTGGTTTATTCTGGATGAGTTTAGCACCATCTTTCTGATTGGCAATTTAATATAATCAGGGATGATCCTTGTTGGGGCCTGCATGGAGCAGAAGGGGAAACAAGTTCCGTTTGATCCTGGAATACAATCCTGGAGGCAGAGATTCTTACAACAGAGGCTTGGAGGTGAGCCATAAACTCACTCAGACACGCACGGCACACAGCTCATCAGCTCTGAATTTTATAAACTCAATGATGAGTCCCAGGAGTGCTGAGCTGAGCCTTGATAAAGATTTTCTGAGGGTTTCAGACATTTTTTTTCAGCCTTCTTTGTTCAATAAAACTCAAATCATGTTTTGCTCCAAGCGTTTGTTCTCTTAATCTTGAAGCCCTCCTGCCCCTTTTAAGCAAAATTGAATTTATACATATCTCATTCATTTATACCTCAGCCCTGAAAATGTTCTGAAAAAACAGAGTCCTACAAAAAGGACCTTTCAGTGTGGTTATGTCCATTAGATGGGAGATTTTCTAGGTCATATGACTTGAAAATTCTTCCAAATATGA